ATCCCAGCGGATGTGCCTTTCTTTGGGAACAGAAGTGTCTGACAGTCTTCTCGTGCAGTCATTACATGGGAATGAATAATAAGGCGGCAGTCGTTCTCATTGATGACCAGTGCTTCGGACGACTCGTGCAAATCGATACTCAACACAATTCTCCCGCAATGGCTAAAGACAGACCAATTAAGAAGTAGTTATACCACAAACAAAGACAGTCTTATTGCATACCACAAGTCAACACATTTCAAACTATTAAACAAATAAAACTTATTTCAAACTAAAAATATTGTGTTTAATTTACCATTTTTTCTATTTCTTTCTCAAACTTTACTTTAATATAAACTTTACATTAAAATATTGATTTTGACTTCAGAAGTAGTAATTCTATTGATAGATATTAAAACTAATGTCTTAAGACCGCTCTGTTTATCATCGCAAATGGATTCGTATATTTAAGGAAACTTTTGATTTTTCAAAAGTTCAATTGAAAAGTATTTTTATTAAAAATATTGATTAAAATTGAAGGAAATGGGAAATCCTATCAATGTATTGAATGTTATTATTATATCAATTAATATTACCAAAACTTTTTCAAGAATTGATTTGTCAAGTGTTTGCTGAAGACATCACCGAATATATGGGACTCGACGTCAAGCAGTTTGCACTCAAAGCGAGCGTCCAGAAGACCTGTCCGATAGTTGGACTGCTCTTTGATCTCAAAACACAATCTCACTGTCGGTGATCAGCGCACAGATCTTCGGCTGACTTAATATAATCTTTGGGTACAAGAGTTCCTCAATAGTGGACTCGTTGAGTGATTTGTCGTCACAAAAGTCGGGAATACGTCCGAAACCGTTGCAGTTGAAGGTCTGAGAGCCCGGACTCACCACATATGAGCCAAACCTATCGATACGGATAAGCGTGACGTCAATGAGCTTAGAGTTGGGATATTGTGGATTAGACGTTAACTAATTGTTTGCATTTAATCATTATATCACTCATAACTGATTGTCGGAGAGAATAATGCATTCAATTGTTGTATAATTTGTAAAAATGGTTTAAATTTACGCACAAATCAATTGAAAGCACTGTTTGTATTAAGTTTACAACAAAATAACCGTTAAATTGAGAAAATATTTCAAACCATTAATTTAGGATTTGAATCAATTTAATCGTCCATTTATTTCAATATAAACACAACTTTTAAACTATTTATTCATCGCTTGTGTTCTCAAAGTTTTTCATTTCATTAAAACGATGTCTCATTTCGACGACAAGAGCTCTTTCGGTGTTTTGGATGACTTGACGTTTGAATTATTGTTGTCTTTTCTCTCATTTGAAGAGCGATTCCGATATGAAATTGTTTGCAAACGATGGCAACGATTGATATTCTATACACAAAAACATCTCAATATTACTTCCCATTTAGAGGATGTGATGAAAACTGATCGACAAATATTGGAAACTATAGTGAAAAAGTGTCCAAACATTTCAAGTATTGATTATTCGGATGGCTTTGAATACAAATATTTATTAATTGAATTAATAATCAAAGAAAATGAATATTTGACTGATATTTACATCGAATTTCACGGCATTAATGAAGAAACGATTGAAGATTTTTTCGCAAAATTTGCTTTAAAATTGAAATCAATTAGATTTGAATTCGACTTTCTTTTTACAAGCGATTTGATCTCTAAATGGCTTTTAATTTGCATGAATTTGAAGTCAATTGAAGGCAGTTTTGATTGTTATCACTTATCACGGCTTTTAACCGCTGGACAACAGATGTATTTCAAAGAACTCAAAAGTATTCAATACCTTATGATGGATACGGACAAAGATTTCGTTGGATTTGACTCATTTGTCAATTACTATAAACACAATATGAAAACAATTGGATTTCATTTAATGTACGATAGAATCGATGAAAATATTATTAACAGACTAACCGATGGCTTAACTCAAATGAAAGCATTAATTGATCTTAAATTGGAGTTTAATAGTAATGAAATGGACTCTATATCTACACTATTATTTGAAATTGATCTCAAATGTGAACAAATCCAAAGTCTCGACCTATTATTTCTCGAAAAATTTGATGAACAAATATTTAATGCAATTAATGAGTGGTTTACACATTTAAATCGTTTGAAAATACGTGGGGTTTTGAAGCCAAGTGTGCGAATACCAGGCAATCCATTGAATCAATTGAATCGCTTAACTCATTTGGATTTGAGAGTTGGAGTCAATATTTTTGACCCATTCTTCGCCGACATATCAGCGAAATATCCATCCCTTCAATACTTAGCTCTAAATCGCGTGAATATAACACACATAGCGGTGGAAGAGATGTTGAAACTGACAGATATTCGGGCCATTCGTCTCATTGGTTCCGTCACTTCTAAATATGTATGCATTAAGTGTTGTCTCCGAGTATTTCCCAATATATCCATTACTAATCGCTAAAACTACGAAATATTTTTTATATTTGTTATATTTTTTATTTCTTTGCTTTTATAACGTTTTTATGAATACAATTAATGATTAATATTTGTTTAATAAATGTTTGAAATAAAAGTATAAGTTATTAGAAGAAAACATTTACTCATAAAGCTTTTGATTTAATGTTATTTTATGTAAAGCATAAACAAGCGATTCCGAAGCCATTGAGAGATGCGTCGGCTGTTGAGTGTCTGCCCGCACACGAGCTCTTGTGGAACGACCCGAGCACTCAAGAGTCATATGAGGCCACCATTGAATTGGTCGGACATAACCAACACAACTGCCCGAAGAATGGATTCGTTTCCAACACCAAACGGAAGACAGGTTTCTATTTCAACGAACAGGCATTGGATTATATTATATATTCAATGACACCTTTGATCTCATCCTTTAAAAGTTCAATTAAAAAGTATTTTTATTGAAAATAATGATTAAAATTGAAGGAAATGGGAAATCCTATCAATTCAGTGAATGTTATTATTATTAAATTATTATTTTAACAAATATTACCAAAACTTTTCAGGAATTGATTTGATATTATTTGAAATTATAATTATGAGTACAATTACTTAATTAATTAATTTAAACAACAAAATATAATGTTAAACACAACAATCTTGGTTGAGGTTTGTTTTTCTCCTATTTTTAGTAATATCATAAAGTTTCTAATGTCTTGTGATTATGAATAGAGTGAACACATTCTCATTCCAAAGGGTGCGGCGATTATAGCGTCAATTTGTTCACTTCTGGTCATTATTGTGGGTATAATTGGAAATAGTTTAACAATTTTGGCGTTAGTTAAGGGATCGCCTAATCTTCAGAGTCACTCGACCACCAAATTTGTGGTCAACTTAGCCATCACTGATCTACTGTTTTGTTCCCTTAATATGCCGCTCGCGAGTGTCCGCTATATGACCCGTTCGTGGCCTTTCGGCACAATTTTATGCCAATGGTATCCATTCTTCTTCTACGGCAATGTCGCCACTTCTCTCATGTCTATCACTTGCATAACTGTCAATAGGTTTGTATCAAACAATTTCTTACAATTGAATGAATTAATTAAAGTGTATTTTCTAGACTCGTATTCATAGCCTTTCACTCCTATTATACAAAAATATATCGAAAAATGAATGTATGGCTTATGATATGGTTTTGTTGGATATTCTCTTTCGGTTTGACATCAATGCCATTACTGGGAATGTGGGGTCGATTTGGGTACAGAGAGAGCACTTTCTCGTGTACTATACTCGCCGATAGCTACGGAAACTCTCCCAAAAAGTTTTTATTCGCCTTTGGGTTTGTTATACCGATTACTGTGATTATAATTTGTTACACAATTATATGGATTCACGTGCGAAGACAGTCGAGTCTTACGGTTAAGACAGCGAAACGAGATTTACGGCTAACGAAACTGATTTTTGCGATATTCGGCGCTTTTCTCGTGTGTTTCGCTCCGATTACTGTTACAAATGTATTGATCACCGAAACAGAGTAATGGCCTTATGTTTGTTTGGGATATCATTTCGTAATTATAATTATTAATTGTTTTCTGATGACAGGTATCCTTATCTACACGTATTGTCAACAATGCTTTGTTGGTTTAATTCATGCGTCAATCCATTTATCTATTTTGCAATTAATCCCAAATATAGGATTGCATTGAGAAGAGTATTAAAATTAGGCACTTATTCGAGCGCATCATTCAATGAATCGGTCACTTCTGAGCACTTGAGCGCAAAAATCCCATTTTTACCAATAAATTATCTATTGTTAGACATGAGACTAATTGATAGCCAAAAAATATGACTAAATATATGGGACTCGACGTCAAGCAGTTTGCACTCAAAGCGAGCGTCCAGAAGACCTGTCCGATAGTTGGACTGCTCTTTGATCTCAAAAAACACAATCTCACTGTCAGTGATCAGCGCACAGATCTTCGGCTGACTTAATATTATCTTTGGGTACAAGAGTTCCTCAATAGTGGACTCGTTGAGTGATTTGTCGTCACAAAAGTCGGGAATACGTCCGAAACCGTTGCAGTTGAAGGTCTGAGAGCCCGGACTCACCACATATGAGCCAAACCTATCGATACGGATAAGTGTGACGTCAATGAGCTTAGAGTTGGGATATTGTGGCGCAACGACTGTCAGAAGATAATTGTCATCCGAAGACCATTGATAGCAATAGACGCCTTCGAAGAGCCGGGAATCGGCGAATT